CAGACAGGGTCGTCCCAATATGCGTTTTTGCAATTTGCATATAGGCAAAAACGCATAAAAATCAAAGTTTATTGGATTGATAATAAGCTGAGTGAACTTCGTATATCAACGGCTGACATAAGTAATCAAGTTAACGGTAAATCGGGCAGGTCCGAAAAGCGGTCACATTATCTGAAGGTAGGCAGCATAGGTTCGAAGGACCCGGCATAGCTGATCCAAACTTGTAGGAGCATTTCAGCAAAATCGCTAACACAGTATCGCTACATCGATTATCCAAATGCCCCGATTACAGGCTCGATCGCTGCAGTTTCTTCAGAAAATTACCAGCGGAAGGACGAGGCATCGTCGGGACGATGATGACGTGATCGAACAAGCAATGAAAGCTGATGGTCAAACGGACAAAATTCAAACATTCTGTAAGCAGTTTTTCAGAATTTGCTTTCAATAATCAAAATTTGGATTAATTCTTTGTTAACCACTAGAAATAATTAAAAATTGTTTGACTTTTTGGAAATCTGGAGTGAACACAGCCCGTGTCAAGACATTAAAGCGATATCTTCAAGTGTTTACTCACGCAAGCTGATACAGACTAGTTTGATTTTTGTTCTGAAAGGACCCGGCGGGGTGTGTTTATATTTGTGTTTATATCTTTTTTCTGTGCCTTTTAAGCCCTCGTTTAGTCCTTACACAATTTTGCTTTTAGATCTGTTTGTGTAAGCGGGAACAAATGTTGACGAGAGCTTGTTTATAAGCGTGTATATGTGAGAGTATATTTGTGTGCATAAATTTGATTTGTTTGTGTGTTTATTGCGTATTCTTTAATCTCCCGACCAGAAAAGCTGGAAAGATGGAGTCTTGGGAACTTAGTCCTTGTTTTTTGTTGGTTCAGATTTGTATCCTAATTTTGCTATGACCACTGAAAAATGTGAAACAAATTTGCACGCATGTCTTAAATTCGCGAATTTCTGCCTCACCCATCATTTTCCTTGTAACTTCAGATCCAGCCCATTTAATGGAACAGTTCGAAGGTATTTAACATGCGTACATGACATGCGGCCAGAAGGCCTGATGCAGAATCTTAGCAAGTTTAAGCCAGCCTAGCAATAAAGATTCAATGGTCAGAAGAGCGCAAAGAAAGTGTGCTCACGTCCGTCTTCTGCTACACTTCCTTAACAACGGCTCCGTTATATTTTTGTGAGATGTAGCAGTGCGCGAATGCGACATTTTCGACACAGTTATTGAATGCAACAATTTTTGCCAGGTTGTGGATGTGGTTACGGATTACCTGGTTACAGTGGACCAAAAGGTAATGACGGGGAAGATGGTCTAGACGGGATACCGGGCAATGATGGAGCACCGGGAGCAAATGCTGTTACAGTGGTTGCTGCGCCAACTGATTTTTGTTTCGAATGCCCTCCAGGTTAAAAATTTCATAAACATGAACGATTGTTGCTTTTGTTCTGGCTTAGCTCGAGATCCAATTTCCCAATCTTTCATTGTAGGGATTGCCGGACCGTCAGGACCACCAGGCCCAAAAGGATTGCCAGGCGTGCCTGGTGCGCCAGGTTTTGACGCAGCGGGAGGTGAACGCGGACCAGTGGGGCCCTCCGGACCAGTAGGACCGCCGGTAAGGTTTAAAGTTCCAGAAACAACTACCATCTGTTAAACAAAATTTTCAATTTAAAAAAAATTTTGTAGGGAACGCCAGGTGAAGCTGGGCGAAAGGGAAAACCAGGTATCGATGGGCGTGTCATTGAGCAGCCTGGGCCACCAGGAGTTCCCGGAACACCAGGTAAGCTGAAGACTTTACAAGACTTTTGAATCTGTTCCAAGAGTTTCAAAATTTTGAATGCAGCTTTCACAGCTATCTGTTTTAGGACAACCTGGTGCAGAAGGAGCTCAAGGTGTTCCAGGTCCTCCCGGAGCGCCAGGAGTACCAGGTCAGTCATAATTGTTAGGTTAAATTAAAATTTTGAATTACTGTGCTTGAAAGTGCGTGAACTTTTGCCGCACTGCGGTTTCGACCATTGTAAAAACAGGAGACAATCTTTTAAAAAATTGCAGGTTTGCCAGGCCCAAAAGGAGAGCCAGGTAAGCCTGGACCAAATGGTCGACCCGGACTTCTTGGACGAACAGGTATCAATGGACGACGAGGGCCAAATGGATCGTGTGAGCACTGCCCAGCACCAAGAACGGCCCCTGGCTATTAGGAAGTATGATATGTTTCTAGCTAAAAATGTGATGTGTTTGGAGAGGAGGAAAAAAAAGGAGAAAATGTGCATAAAAGGAGCAGTTCGCGTTTTTAGAGTTGAATTCGTCTCTGGGCTGATGCACGGAGCATATCGCCTTCTGTCCATCCTCCCAAAAATAGGATTGCTAAAATTACTTCGTAATTATTTAAGGTGATTAATTAACTTCAGATAGGTTCTGAACTTCGGCAAAATATTTCCAAAGAAACAAGTTAAATTTTAGCAGTCAGTGCCAAAGCAATAAGACAGCCAAGTTTTTCTGTAGAGGGCTGCTCTCACAAAGCAAGGGCAGTATTAATGATTTTTTAAGGCAGAACTCCAAACACACTTTTCTTTTCGCTGACAGACACCTGAATAATCAAAAAGTAATAATCATTTGATCTAGACTAGTAAAGTGAAGAGTTTTGAAAAACAAAATAAACCCAGTAAAAATTTTTAAAGGCCACAATCCACTTCAATAGACACTAGAAGATGGTGAAGGATTTATGGTGCTGAATAAGAAACTAGATGTTTAGAGAAAGCTAGTAAGCTTGTGCTTGCAGTCCAGTATTCCAGCGGGATAAAAAAAAAAAATCAGGCACTTGTTTGCGACTATGATTTTTGCAACTTCCATCCAAACCTGCAAACGAGTGCATTTTGCGCGTTTGAGCCTGACTGAGTTAAGTTTTAGTAACTGCCGTTACTTCTACTTCAAAGCCTTCAAATTCTTCTGCACTTTTGTAAAGCATTAATTCGAAATTTTTTGGCAGCTATTCCATACAATGCGTACGCTAAGAAGTTGAGATTACGTAAAAAAATATAAGTTACCAATCTTAACTGAACATTGTCTTTTGGAGAACTTTCAAACCTCCGATCGCTTTTTGTTGTTTAACACAGACTGTGTGCTACCAAATCATTCAATCGTTTTTGAAGCAACTAACCGCGGTATTCCACCTTCCGCTTCTTTTTACCGCACATTATATTTTTGATGACGACACACAAGCTATACAATTCTAAATGTAAATGCACTGTTGAAAGCACGTGATTACATGTTAAACTAAAAATATAATTTTTTTCGGCTTCTGAGAATAAAAATTATTACATGTAATGAAGAAAAATAGCGGGGTAATGAGATTTCTATTCAAAAATCGCTTTCAAAACTATATTACAAAGGCTGCTGCGCCTTTTAGGCGATATATATTTTCCCGACGAAAGCTCAGGAAGTGAAATTGGGACTAAAGTATCTCACAGAATCTCTGACAAGAATACTAAATCTAACTCTTTAAGAAAGAAAGAAAAGGAGGTGCTCAAAAAGTCGGATTTTCTGTTCCCAAATTTGGGGCAGTTTTTTACTCCTAGTTTTCCAAAAATGGTTTTGTAAATTTCTTCAGTAATACGGCACTTTTGCACACAACATTAACGACAACTTTTACACAGGCTTTGACCTTACCTCCTCAATGCTTTTAAATAAAGTATAACAAGAAAAAATGAAGCAATAGCAGTAAACTTGTAATGCTGCTGTTTGGATGAAAAACCGGATGATGCAAGTTTGGATGTTCTAATTCTGGATGTTGTTTTCACAGTAACTGTTACTGAATCGCCAATTCCGGCTTCATTTTGTGCGGCAAACCTGAAGATGTATGTCGTTCCTTGACGTAAACCACCAATTTCGTATAACCCGTTTCGATCTAAAAAAATAATATGCGGCTTGTAAAAAATTTTCATTTACGTAAGAAACAACTACATGACAAATATCCCGTGCTGATGGGTAGCAGTTGAGAAGGAGAGCACAGCTCAGACGTCTTATATAACGTGCAAAATAGTTGCAAAAGCACGCTCAATTTGCAGCTATAACGCAAAAAATGCTTTCTTTAAATAAATAAGGTTGGAAAAATAAAATGCGTGAGCTTTAAGGAGGGGACTCAATTTTGGTAAAAGGTGACGCAAATCAGCACGCGTCTACTTTTGATGGAATTCAGATAAAACACCAAAATAAAATTTTTTCCGCGCATATGGAGCTTCAGTTTCTCCGGTCTTTCGCTGCCTAAAAACAGGAGGAGAATGCTCATAATTTTGTACTCAAAATCCTCCACATCTCAGCCTGTGAGAGGTGCGAGCACTCGAAAGTAGTCCCAGTGAATGTCAACATCAGTTTTAGATAAGAATGTCAATGGTTTCCTCTTCTGAGCACTGCTTAGAAGCTGACCGATGGTAGGTTTGATTCTCTAGCATATGATAGTACCAATTTATCATCGAAACAAATGAATGAAGCACAGAGGGATTGGTTGCTCCAGCGGTCGACCCGAACCCTCCATCTTCTGCACGAGAGCAGCAATTCCCATTAAGCTGTACCTGTCAGCAATTATTCAGTTAATAAAGACTTTAACTTACTTAATTTTACATCCATTTTAACAGCATGAGCGAACCACACTCGATTGTCTGCAGAGCTCCAATCGTGACCCTACATTCATCAGATTAGTCAGATTTGTACAACAGAATGAAAAGAATGCACACAAAACAGTTGCAGCTTTCCTGTGCTTCAGTCTTCTAACTTTCTTGTTCTAATAAAATGGGTTCCATCAACCAATCCATTGCTTCCTTTGGATTAATAAGATTGTGATAAGCACGAAGGGATTAAACTGATCCAAAAAGTTACCAACTGTAGGGAGTTCTCAAATTAAAGTGCATCCAAATTCAGCTTTATGGCGGGTAGGAGGCTGTACTGACGATTCCCACTCCTACCCGCATGCACTGTTCGGTTTGCGTATACAGCTTGGGGATGAAACACAGACTGCATCATGAAATGTTCTCTTATACATGACACTTAATT